AAACATGAAATAATGATCAAAAAGTGCCAAAAACATTTCAGAATTTTAGTGCACAGAGCATTTTTTTGCATTTAAAATAAACAAATTCAAGAATAGGACGACGATAAATTCACCCTTGAGTTGGCACTAAAATTCATCCGCTCGAACTGGCATCCGCTCGAATTGACTGGCATTCAGGCCTACCACTGGTCCTAGGCCTGGTACCTAGGCCTAGCCCTAGAGAAGCCAAACACCGGAGAGTAAAACCATGGGAAAAACCATGCTGCTTCCTTGTTTTTCTAATAGGAGATGCGGAGTAAAACATCATCATACATCATAGAAACTATATTTTTCATTTCAATTTAGCCACAAAATGTAACTTACTTTTTAACATAAAGCTCCAGCCTCGGCCTATACAAGCGTCAATATGGTTTCTGGACAAAACGGCATGTGACCAAAACGGCAATAAACCAAAACGGCAAGGATAACTACAAAAACGAAAATAGGCATAGACCAAAACGGCAAAGGAGCAAAAATCAATGCCAAAGACTGAAGCGCCACCGGGCGCGGGCAGCAGTTTATAATTTTCTGAATCGTTTTTTTTTTTTGTTTTTTGTTTTTTGTTTTTTTTTAACACATTCATGACGAATTATTTCGTTATTTCAAAGTGTTTTTTTTTTCTTTTCCGTTTTTTACTTTCATGACATAAATTGTTTAGCCTCATATTATCTGTATTTTAAGGTTTTTTAATTATTTAAATGTTCACTGGTTTTATATTGTTGTATGTATTATATTGTGTTCCCCAAATCTTTCTTACTATTGAATTTGTATGTTATATTGTTGTTGTTACTATAATAATAATAATAATAATAATAATAATGATAATAATAATAATAATAATAATAATAATAATAATAATAATAATAATAATAATAATAATAATTATTATTATTATTATTATTATTATTATTATTATTATTAATTTTGTTATTTTTTAAAGTGTTTTTTTTCTTTCGCGCTTTTTTACTTTTATGACGTAAATTGTTTGCCTCATTTTGTCTGTATTTAAAAGTTTTAATTATTTAAATGTTTACTGCTTTTATATTGTGATTCCCACAATCTTTTAACTATTGAATTTGTATGTTATACTATTATTATTATTATTATTATTATTATTATTATTATTATTATTATTATTATTATTATTATTATTATTATTATTATTATTATTATTAAGGTTGTTCTTCTTTCGCGTTTTTTACTTCTATGACAATTTAGCCTCATTTTCACCGTATTTATCGTTGTACACTTTCTTGTTTATAATTGGTTTTATGTAGTGCCACATTGAATAAGTTTTACTTCTTAAAGAAAACTTTCATAGACCATCCTTGCATAATCTTTTATTGTACTGCCTTGTGCGAATTTTATCTGTTTTGTACAATGTTTTGATGATGAAAAATAAACTGAACTGATAATATACCAAAATAAATATTGAATCAGAATGGTCTGTAAATTTGATTTGAGTTGTACTTTTTAATGTTGTTATATTAGTAACAGCAGTTAAAATAAAACCATCAAACCGAGGTAAATACGAGTTAACAGCACCTTAAAGTTCATGAATAAGGTACAAAATCAAGAGGGGGTTTTTAAAGGTAACGCCCATGGAAGTTTTAAGCAAACTATTGTCGATTCGGTGATTCAATAATTAACTTTGTTGCCTACTGTTTATGGTCAACTGAAAACGTCATGCAAGCAGCGTTTATGGTACAACAACGATTTCGCCATCATCGTTACTTATAATGGATCATATTGATAAATACAGAAGTGCATATACTTTTTTCTTCGGATTTTTTTAATTATATTTTTTCACTGCAATTTTAGGCGATAGTATAACCGCAATCATTTATGTACAGGATACATTTTTATAACGATAATGGTACGACGATTTATTGGGTTCACTTTCAGATCAGTAAATTAGGTAATTATTTTAAATAATAATAATAATAATAATAATAATAATAATAATAATAATAATAATAATAATAATAATAATAATAATAATAGTGTAGTTTTATATAACGCAACAGGTCCGACTCTCAGCCACGAGTGAGATTTTGTAAGCTCTATTGTTATTTTCTGGAGAAAATGAATAAAATAAACTAGCGGAGCAAATTTAAAGATTTAAAGATAATAATTATGTGTAATTACTGTATAAGTGTACCTGGTATCAGCTGCCGGTAGATCGGATCTAAAGGCAGAGATAAACTTGTTTTGTCTTGCATTTAAATTCATAGGCCTATAGTTGGTAAACAATTAAAAATGCTACTGGACTTTTATGTGGCACAATTTCACGTCGAATCAATAACCAACTTGCCTGGATGACTGGACATTATTATCTTAAATTGATTTATTATGCATGTTATTATCGCTTTAAACCTGGAAAGTTCAATGACAATGACCTTTAAACAATCCTGTCCGATAGGCCACCTACTGTTATATGCGTGTTTTTATCGATCAACTATTGCCCCGGCGTCACTAATTTGGAAGGCAGTACGACTGTATTATTTTCACAATCACTTCCTGATTTCACGACGTGCACATGACAATCGGGACGCTACGTACCTCTCTCATTGTGTTTACGTTGGGAACGTTTTACCTTCCTATCATGCACGATAATACTTTCTTCCTATTTACTATTTGTATATGAATGAAATACTAATTATAGTTCCGTGCATTTTAGAATTCTGAGAATATTCATCGTAATTGTTATTTTTTTTAAAGAAACATCGTACCGATATCATTTAGTTTTCTACACTAATTTAAGTGTATGGGTAGATTTGCAGGGTCTT